TTGACCATGATTATGTTGTAATAAGCATGTTCTCTAGCGGAAAAAGATAGTTCATGGATATGTAAGTGACTTCCCCTTAGCATAGCAAACCGAGCTCATTTTAAAAGGGGAGAATCCCATGCCTTATTTTCTCCTTCAGACTGACAACTTGCCGGAACCAAACTCTTGTACTCATACAGTCCTTCTCTACAGTGAACGTCTGCATACCTGTCTGCTTCATCTCGAATTCACAGCATCCCTTAGTGGTAAAGATGACTATTACCCACTGGATTTTACAAAGGCGAAGTACGATGCGCGGAAGGCAAGTGGCTTAACTAAGATGACACCAGTGACATTTTGTTAAGCCCCAGTTAGCACCAAGCCATCGGCTTCTGAGCTTAGGTGGCCTCCCGGTCATTCTGCATTGAACCAGAAGGTCAGGCTGCTGTCACTACAACCTCTCTGGCTTGAGAGGTCAACCCTGGCCCAGCCGCTATCAAGAATCCTTCTAAAATATGACCTCATTTTATGTTTATGTAGGGCCATAAAGAAACTGAGGACTGTGACTGTGACCCTTGGCAGCCATCTCTTCCTCCTATTGTGTGTCAAAAGACAGAGACTTTTCGGTTCATGGAAGCCAGCCAAGAAGAGATGGACGTGGATAAGGAACACCGCTGGTAAACCGGAAGTCTTTGAAGCCACATCTCTACTGGCTTTTAACAGCCTCTCATCAAAAATGCACTAGACCTAAATCCTCAGGCACCACTTCAGAGCTCAGTTGTCTCTTTAGAACCAGACCCAGAAATCAACGGCATGTGCCCTTGAAGACTTTTAGCTTCGGCAAGTGAAGGTTTCACTGGAGCCTGATATTTAGCATCCCTAAGTGCCATATAGACAGATGGGACTTGGTGGCTGGTGGCAGAAGACTCACTCCTTCTCTGTCCCCCCACCCTCCCACCCCCACCCCTGTCCTGGATTGTGACCAAATGGCCTCTGATCAGTTTATGGATCCCAAAGAAATATCCGTTACTCAAGACGTTAGCACGTCAGTGGTTTGTTTGGTGGATCACTATCTGTGTTGGTGGTCTCCGTAAACTCAAAAAAGAGTTGTGGAAAAAGAAGAAATTTCTCAAGGGTAAGTGAAGTAATGGGGTGGCTAGGGAAGGCATTTAGCACCAGAGCCCAGCTTGTTTCTTGTGCCCAGAGAGACAGGAGACAGGGAGAATTCCCTTGGCTTTCAAGTCACAAGGTTGTGAGGTCCTATCACAACCTTGTGCTATCAGAATTGCTTGTTTTGCTTTTCTTTTAAAGTTCAATGGCTTCTGTGGCTTAATGTACAGTAAAGAGTCTATCACTAAAAATGAAATTCAGAAATGGTACGGGAACAAGGCATGATGGCTTGAGCCTCTATTACCAGAACTTGGGTGCCTGAGGCAGCAGGACCACCAAAAAATGTTTGAGGCTAGCCTAGACTATAAACTATGACTATTCTTAAAACAAACAAACAAAAAACCAAGATGGCTGGATGGCTCAGAGATTAAAAGCACTAGCGAGCCTTCCAAAGGGACCAGTGTTCAATCCCAGCACTCACATGTAAGTTCATAACTCCAGTTATAACTCCAGCTTCAGGAGATCTGATGTCCTTGTCTGCTCTGTGGGATTCTGCACACACATGCGGATCATAAATTCACACAACCACACACAGATACACATAAAAATAGAAGAAATAAATGTTTTTAAAATACTTATAGAAAAAAAAGAAGGAAAATCCAATGAGTAACCTACTACCCCTTTCAATATTTTCACCCTGCTTTTTTGTTAGAGGATTGGACATCCAACTTGTTACAAGTGAATTTTTATGGTTCTATTCTTTTGAAAACCCAACAGAGCTTTCAAAGTCTTGAGTACCTGTATTAGAACTCACAAAAGTTATTAGACTTGTACTCCTTTGCATTATGTGATTGTTTTGTAATACTCTATTCATGGGGGTTAATTAAGTTGATACACAGAATCTGGCCTTAAATGACAGGCAAAGCAGGGAACTAAGTTGCTCTGAGTAACCTGAGGTTTGAAATGGCGCCATTTTTCCTGGCTGCACGTCTACTTGGTATCAGTTAGGCAGCGTGTGGTACTGTGGCTCTGCTACTGGGAAATGTTTTTATTCAATGCTTCCAAAATAAACTTATTATTTTACAACAGCATTACACCTTTAGAAAAATCACAGAAATAATACGGAGAGTTCCTATAAACCCCATGTCCAGTTTCTCCTATGTGTGTGTGTGCGTGTGTGTGTGTTCCTGCATGTGTGTATGCCTGTATGTGCATGTGTGTGAATGTGTGTACATGTTGTATGCTCCTGTGGGTGCATATGTGTGCACATGTGTGTGTGTGCATGTGTGTGTGTGCGTGAGTGATACATGCTTGTGTTTGCTGCATGGAAAGGGGTGGACATCGGTGTTCTTTCTTTATTGCTGTCTTATTGCCTTGAGACAGGGTTTCTCCCAGAGCTGGAAGTTCATCATTTTGCTGGTCTAGCCGGCCAGCAAGCTTGAAGGACCTACCTGTCTCCATCCTCCAACAGCGGAGGTCCATGGGCGACGAACCCAGGTCTGGCTTTTGTTGTGGAGGCCGAAGACTCGAACGCAGGTCCTTGTGTTTCACAGTATGTAGCCACACCCACTCAGCCAGCTCCGCAGCCCTCTCCTGTGACTCATTCGCGCACATTACTGTTGTGCTAGGGTGTCACCCTTGGCTCATTGGCTCTTTTGAGGGCCCACCAACCAGCTCCTGAGCAATCGTACACGGAGGCTTATCCTTAGTTAGGAATGCCCAGTCTTAGCTTAGCTTGGCTTCTTTCTTGCCAGCTTTTTTTTTTTTTTTTAATCTCGTCTACCTTTTTGTGCTGGGTTTTTATCGTTCTTAATTCTGCATAGCTTACTTTCCCTCTTACTCCATGGCTGGCCTGGTAGCTGACTTCCTCGTCTCCTTTTCTTCTTGCTCCTCTTCCTCTCCTCCTCATTCCTCCTCCTATTTATCATCTCTGCCTGCCAGCCCCACCCATCCTTGCTCCTGCCTTGCTATTGGCCACTTCAGCTCTTTATTAGACCATCAGGTGTTTTACAGCTTCACAGCTTCACAGAGTTAAACAAATGCAACATAAACAAAAGTCACACACCTTAAAATAATGTTCTACCATACATTACTGTGGCATACTTTTCACGTACCTAGAGTTTCATTAATACTTTACTCATATTTTCTTTGTACCTAAACATACAAGATGCCACATCGCAGTTACTCACCACAACCTGTAGGGGTCTCTTAGCTGCTGAGTTTCTCCAACTCCCTTGTTCCTGGTGGCATGACACTTTGGAGGCGTACTCTATAGGTACTTAGGACAACGTTTTTCAGGACTCGTCTGACGTTTTCCTCAGGATCACGGGATAATGAGTTTTGGAGCGGAAGGCTATTAAAGGCGTTTTGATCACTAGAGGCTGGGAATGCTCAAGTGGAACACCAATAGTTCCCTGGCATGAGGGAATCTGATGGACTTGGGCAAGCCTGGTCCACAGTGAGCATCTCTCAGCTGGAAGGACACTGCAAATACACAATCGCCCAGTGGCTCTCCCAATAACTGATGTCACCACGAGTCTTCCCTGAGTTAAACCCTGTCTGAAGACTTACACCAATCTCCTGTGGGTTTGCTGCAGGGAGAAAATGCTTCAACCTTCTAATGGGAGTTCATATGAAATGGCACTCACTCTATAGAAACCACCTGACGGCCAGTATTACTGAGCTGCAGCAGAAATGTGGAATTCTCACTGACCTGCTGACTAGAGTGACTCGATGGGAAGCCAGGCATTCGGGAGTCCTGCACTGTGGAACTGCGGTATGTGTGCCTTGGCACTCAGGATTCTAAAAGCTGGCACATGGCGGCAACTACTCAGTAGGTGGTTGCCACCAAAGGATGACCTTTCACTCACTGTTTCCACAACAAGAGACCATGTTGTCCACCATGTATGAAGTCCTGGGGACAGTGGGCAGAGGCACTGTGGGAACCCGCCTTGCCATCCAAGGGGATGCACCACAAAGCAGAACAAGGAGATGGAGAATTAGCTAGTTTGGTTACTTTCAATGGTCTCCAGAAATAGGGGCTTCACATAGAAAATTCAGTATTCATTAAGCATGGCAAAGCTATTTCACTATAAAGCCAAATGCATATCTAATGTTTACATATATGTATATATGCACACACACACCACTTGCATGCACACAATAGTTTGCCTAAATTCAAGGTCAGCATCCCCAGCACTCACTCCCTCCCACAGCCACACCCCTCCCCTACCACGCCACAAATTGGCCACGTTTAGTGGGCCCAATTAACTTGGCCTTCTCCCCCCCCCCCAAAGCCTAAAAATGCAATAAACAAAAGTAAAACTAGAGAGGCTTATTTCAACCTGACAGCTTCTTGCATAAAGGAAGCTGTGTTTTCAAAGCCAACACAGAAATGTTCCCTTCACGGTCATGACTGATGGGGGGTGTCCTTCTGTATGCTGGGAATATATGTTTCTCTTTTTTTGGTTGATGAATAAATGCTGATTGGCCAGTTGGCAGGCAGGAAGTATGGGTGGGACTACCAGAAAAGGGAAATTCTGGGGAGAGGACAGGGAGTCTGGGCACCACCTGTAAACCCAAGACCATGTGGAAATACATAGATTACTAGATTTGGGTTAATAATTAAGAGAGAGCTAGCCAGTAAGAAGCCTGAGCCATTGGCCAAACAGTTCATAAATATTTTAAGTCTCTGTGTATTTATTTGGGACTAAGGGGGGCAGAACCAGGCGGAAAAGAAACTCCATCTACACATGACAGAATCAAACTCCATATTCTCCACACTCTGTGAAACACTTTATTCTCCTCTTTAAGTTTCAAACCCACTGGAAGGCAAACCTGAAGAACTCTTCAGCAAAAGTATGAGAGCTTTACAGAAAGGTACAGGAAGTTTCTGGAGGAAATGGCAGTTTCTGGTAACTGTATTTCTGCATACTTCTCTTTGGTAAAGTCCTCACACTTGAATAAATTAGTTACAACGTCGATAGAAATAAAAGAAGTAATCTGTGAAGAAAATCCCAGCAAAAAAAGGATCCGTGGAGCAGTCAGCTAAATCCTATGGGAACAGGAAAAGAGAAAGACGAATGTAAAAGTTAACTGCCACTTATTGTGCGTTTAATTTTCTACTGAAAGTAGCGAAAAAAAAAAACAGCGTGCTTACTGGTGCAGCTACTCGGAAATGGTAGGCACTGTCAGAGAATGGGGCCACCGGAAGGCTCCAAATGTGCTGATAACCCTAAGAAACGAAGGAGAAAGGCCCATCTCACACCACATGTTACACTCAGTGGAAAGAAGGGCAGGCTAGGGCAGTGTAGGAGAAGCTCTAGGACAGTAGTTTTTGATGTGTGTTGCTAGAACCGTCTACAGCCTCTTGAGGAAGGAATGATGATACGGAGTGGCAAGGTCAGCTAAGAAGAGCTGGCATTTGGTTCCAGGCAACCCTTCATCCATAGGGAGTAGAGGCCAAGATCCTAAATGATGTCTGCTGGGACCAGGACCTGAGAGCCAGGAAACATTACCTGTGTCATCTGGGAGTCTTCTTCGTGGCTTTGGGCATTTTCTTTTTGACTGTGGAAACATATATTCCCAACGGTGAATTTGCACTGGAAGACTATCAGTGGCTCTGTAGTGCTTCAAGAGATAAGGAAGTTAGTAGATCCTACCAAGAATAAGAAGATCAACTGGTGGGTATGTAACTTAGAAACCCTCCCTGGGGCCATGTCTGAGCCAGGGTTACTATTGCCGTGACAGACACCATGGCCAAAAGCAACTCGGGGAGGAAGATTTATGTGGTTTATGCTCATCTACACTGTTCCTCGTTGAAGGAAGGCAGGACAGGAACTCAAGACAGGGCAGGAACCGGGAAGCAGAGGCCAGTGCAGAAGCCATGGAGGATGCTGCTTACTGGCTTGGTCCTCTTGGATTGCTCAGCCTACTTTCTTATAGAATCCAAGATCATCAGTCCAGGAGTGACCCTACCCACAATGGTTGGGCCCTCCCCCATCAATCACTAAGTTAAAAAACGCCCTACACTATAGGCTTTCCTGCAGCCCCATTTTATGGAGGCATTTTCTCAGGTGAGGTTCCCTCCTCCCAGGTAACGATAGCTTGGGTCAGGTTGATTTAAAACTGACAGTCTACAACAGGCATCTTGTTACGTGATTCTCGGTGCTGTCAGGAGCTGAATCTCATCTCACTGCTGTAGAAGGAAGATGACCCTCGGGCGACTAACATGCCAGAGGGTTCTAAGTCTAGAATAACGACTCTAATTCCTACACCAAACCTCTTTTCTCCCCATGTCATTGCGTTTGGATACATCTCTTCTTTTCACTGGCAGTTGGATTTGCATTTATCCAACGCCCCTAAGACATTCAGTACTGCAAAGTCCTGGTTTGGGTAGATAGCGTCCGAAATGGCACGGCAAGTAAACAATAGAAATGGAGGAAAGATTGGTAGGGGTGTGATGGACAGGGGTGGGGGAAGAGGGTGAAGAAGCTAGGCAGGGGTCGGGGAGAGGGTGGCTAGAATGCATAGATACATGCTTGAAACTGTCAGAGAACTACAGTTTTAAAAGAGAAAGAAATAAACAGCTTTTTAAGTGATGAGGGCAGAGGACCTATAGGAAAAGTTGCTCTTCGTCCCTGAGAGGATGAGACTCGTCCATTTTTGCACAAATAAGAAAACCCCACAGTTGAGTGGCTCCCTCATCCTCAGGGCACCTTTTCAAAGACACCCAGTGGATGCCTGAGACTGCAGAATAGGACCAAAGCCCGTGTCTACTGTCTGTTCTCAGACCCATACATTTCTATGAAAGAGTATCATTTTTAATTGAGTATATCGAGAGGTTAGCAACATTAAAAATAAAGATGGGAATGATTGTGATAACATATTGCTTAAAACATTTAAAAAAATTGTTTATTTCTGGGAATGTCCATTCAATATCTTTGGGCCACAGTTGATCATGGTTAAGTGAAGTTATAGATACATGGGGACTATTGTAGCTGTTATTTTAAATCACTGGTATTTGGAAACTGGTTCGTAAACCCACAGTCTTGATTCAGTAGTTCAAGGTTATATGACCCTTCAGGGTTCTAATTTATAACCTTCTTTCCTTCCATCGAAAGCTAGGGATGAGAACAGAAATGCTGGAAACCAGCACACCTGGCTGTTAGACAAGTACCCTGGGCATTCGGATCCTAAGTCATGAAACGATGGCTACCTTTCCCCAGCATGCACCTGGGCTGAGTTCACTACCTCCTTGGTGAGCAAACTTAAGAATGAAGGACTGTGACGCCGAGACTGAACAGCGGAGTCAGGGAGAGGAGATGGGGTTGGGGGTGAAGTCGGGGAAGGGAAAGGGGGCGAAGAATGGAAAGGCAGGGATGAGGACAAGAGTAGAATTGAGACTAAATCTCTCCTTCAGAGAAGCCCCTGCACAAGTTTGAGTGAAGTGGGCTGAAAGTTATAATTACTAAAAGCACCAGACTACGAGGCAGATATGGCTCGTCGCTGGTAGTAGCTATGAATTCAGAACATAGTGTTCTGTGTGCATTCATGTGTGTGTACGTGTGGAGGCCAGAGGATGATGTTGAATGTTTTTGGAGACAGGGAACCCCATCTCATTTAAGGCTAGACTAGCAGATCAGTAAAGTCCCCCTGCCTCTGCCTTCTTAGTATAGGGGTGGTGGGGATCGAACTTGAGTCCTCTTGCTCATGTAGCAAGCGCTTTACCAGCTGAGCTATCTCTCCAGCTCCAGAACACACATTTGACCTGTGTTCCCTAGTGCTCCACCCATAAAGCATATGCTAGGAAGAAACTCATGTCCCAGCATTAGTGTGCACGAGCTGACGGGTGGGTACTCTGTGCTCCATAAGAGGCAGTTACTAATGCAGTCAGTGTTAACCACAGTCATCGTGGCATTATGCAATGTCCCTTTTATAGGTGGAGAAATAGCAGCATGGTACACAGTAACCGTCACTTCTAAGATCACAAAATGAGCGAGTAACGGGCACAGTTTGAGTCCTGGCCTGCCCAGAACACCACCTACATTTGTATTCATGCCTGGAGGTCACCAAAGCATCCAGCTCCCAGCCAGGGGCCTTGTTAATATTGGTGTTCTTAACCCAGTTCAAAGGAGGCAGCCGGGGGAAACCTGTAGCCTGTGAATATCAAACTTCTTCAAGCAAGAATGTGGCTTCCAGTCCTCCCCATTCTCCCAAGGGGCCCCGGGCCACCCCACCCTCTTCACCCCTCCTCACCTAACGTGGACTGACAGAGTTTTGCCTCCTCACTAGATAAACTACGGCACCAATTTGCACTTAGTGTTCAATGAAGGAGAAAGCAGTTTCTTACGGCCACACACTTACTTGATTTCCAGGGAGAACTTGACGTTGGTGGGTGTGTTCTTATTAACAGGAATATTATAATTATAATGTCCAGGCCTGATTTTTAGAAGAAAATAAAATCACAAGTCAAAATGTACCCAAAAATGTTCAAAGGGCTTTTAACTTGTTACTACATACTATATAAACTGCAAAATATCACATGATAACTTTAGAAGATTGGGTTTAATCCGGTCCCTTTTTGGTAGTCTTCAGAGACAAATTCATCCAATGTCAGAATGAATGTGTTTGTGCCTTAATATAAAATATGGAAAAGTCAAGTCCCAGACCAAATGCACAGAATCAAATGCACAGGAAACAACTTTGTTCATAGAGAAAAAAAAAAAATTTCAAAGGAAAAATGAAGTAAACTTGATGTTTCCTGGAAAAGAACCCTGAGATAACACCAGCAGCATAGGCCACTTCTCCCTCTTAAACAATTTTGGCAGAAGCTGTGTATATTTAGAACCAAAGCCAACTATAATTATTATAGCCTGATTACCATTTGGTGACGGAGGAAATTGTAAGGTAGGCTTGCGTATCCCTAGGTCCACCTACCAAACGAGGGATGCTTAGAGAGGAGGGGCTGACGCGCTGATCCCTCCTGTAATGAAATACTCCAGCAGACAGCATGTATGTATCCAGTCAAGCCCTCCTTAGGACTGCTGACCCCACGGGTGGCATGCAAGACATGCAAGCCAGGCAAGGAGAACCAGCCATTTTAGATCCTCTTCAAATGATACTAAACTCATTGTCAAAATGTGACCGAAGAAATTACAGGGAGCCAAAAAAAAGACAGTGTTTTATAATTCTTAAGAATATCAGGATATGACATCATAGACCTTGGGTGTGTACAGTTTTTTTTTTTTTTACTTACCATTACATCTTTAAAAACTAAAATTAAACGAGTTGTACACCAAGATATAAGAAAGCACGTCATATTGTCATATTGTGCATCTCAGATATGTTTAACTTTTCATGTCATATGAAAAAAGCTGAAAAACAATGTTATTGGTGCACACACACACACACACACACACACACACACACACACACACACTCTGCCTTAGGATCAGAGCTCAGAGCTCAACTGGGACGCTCCAATACTTGGAAATCCTTTCCTGTTCCTGTTATGGACTTTCCATCATCTTCTGAGTCTCATCCAACAATCGCCCTCCCTACCTTACGGATGAGAAGAGAATTAGGAAAACAAACATTTTTGCCTGAGTCTAGGATCTGGGCCTGAGTCATGCAATTCATCACCATCATGTCATTCTACTGTATTAACTAACGTCTGTCCTGGATGCCAACCAAAGGCGTGATCAAATGCAAGCTTGTTCAGGTTACAGAAAACTAAACCACAGAGAAAAATGTCGCCGACTTCTTACCAGCTGAAGTGAGAATTCAAAGTGATTATAAACATAGGCGTCATAAATAATTCTTAAATATGTTATTTTTATAGCTCAGGAATTCGACTTGAAGCTTAAGTTCTATAGAGGTGAAAAAGAACTCAGGCTGAAACTCACAGAACTCACGGCCACCCCACCCCATCCCCCAGCTGAAAGTAATCTCACATATCAAATTAAGAAATAAGCTTCATTCTGAAGGTCTACAATTTGCATTTGCACTTACTACAGCCACTCGTATTTTACATATCTAGATGCATCGCTGCCGTGTGCTGGGGGTGGGGGGTGGGTGGGTAATGATAAACACTGGGGATGGATGTTGCGGGAAATGTCTAAAATATTTGGGCAATTGTTTGACTGCTAGAATAAAAGCTACTCGAAGCTGAGCTAGATTCCCACGCTCCCACAACAATTATAACAATATCATTTGTTGTTAACACAAATGCAAAATCACTCATGTCCGTCTTGCGTCCAGAAAGCCACTGGTCACTGTGGACATTGGTGCATGCCCCGGAGAGTCAGCCTGTTCCCCTGGGGGTTTTGCTTTGGATCTAGTCATTGAAGGAGGAGAATGGGATCATGGGGGTTGTAGTTTATTGGCATTTGCTAATGCCCACCTTTTCCGACTCCCTCATCTTCCGTGTATGTAAACATACACGGATTTCAATGTGAAACTTTGGCTTTCACTCCAGCCTCAAAACTGTAATGCTGAACAAATTCCAGGAGCAGCCAGGGCATCTTGGGAGGCTTACCCACCCGCAGCGGAGCAGTCTGCTGCAGTACCGACGGTCTATCACTTGCTGGATTTCCAAAATCTGAATAGAAGTGATGGTTGTGTCGATCCCTGAATTAAAGAGAAATGGAGAAAAGAGAATAAACCCTTGTGTGTGTGTGTGTGGGGGGGAGTATTGTGTCCCTGCTCAGTTCTCAGCTGCAGAATGTGAGCCAAGAGAGTCCCAGACAAATGTCCCATCCACACCCAAATGGGGGATGGAATAAGTCAGGACGAGGCTTTGGTTTTTGTTTGGGGAATGAGTGGTTATAGCAAATTTTAAGAGATCATTAATAAAAAGTCAGGTACCTAGAAACCGCGCATCACATCCAAAAGCGTTTCTGGACTATAGAGATCCTGCTAAATTGGAATTTACTAGAGATGGGGGGGATGCAACGTGACATGCAATCTGCTTCAGGACATGGAAAACGAACTAAAAACAAAAGAGGAAGGAAGGCAAGGACTTCAAAGGCATCAAAACCAGGGAGCTCTCCCACAGCCTATCTGGCTTCAGGTGACAATCCTGAATGCCTCATTAATGTTTAGGCTGACGTGGGTCATAAAACATGGCCACACAGGTATCTACGGTGTTGTGTTGCGTGTGTGTGTGTGTGTGTCTGCAATGTGTGTGTCTCTGTGTATCTGTGCGTGCCTGTGTGTGTCTGTGTGTGTGGTGTGTATATGTGTGTACCTGTGTATCTGTGTGTGGATCTATGTGTGTGGTGTTTGTGTATCTGTGTGTGTGTGTGTGTGTGTGATATGCTGTGTGTCTGTGTATCTCTGTAGTGATGATGATGATGATGATGATGTGTGTGTGTCTGTGTATGTGTGTGTAGTGATGGTGTGTGTGTTTCTGTGTATCTGTGTGTGGATCTATGTTTATGTATCTGTGTGGGGGGGGGCGATGGTGTGTGTGTGTGATGATGGTGGTGTGGCGGATGGGTGTGGCAGGTTGGGTAGTTGTCACTGTTTCTAATCCCAGTGGAGTCCTTGTGATACCTAGACCCCGAGGGTAAATGTCAACTTACAGTCACTCTCCCAGTCAGGCCTGAGAGGCGCATCTCTTGCCAGGGATGACTGGCTTTCGTCTTCTGAAGAGTGAAAACATCAGTCAGTCATGCAGGCTTGCTCAGGACGATAAGAAGCTGACTGACCTGAGGTGAATGTCTCTCTACTCTCCCCTCCCCTCTCCCACACGTATCCCATTTCTTCCAGATCTAGTTTCTTCTCATCCTCACCCAAGAAGCCACCTGACATGGCTCGGTTACTCACGCCCCATCAACACCGTCTTCCTCAGAGTGCCAGTGTGTCTGGAGATGTAGCCTTTAAAGAGCGGCTTAAGAGGATGGGGGACAGCTGGATGAGCTCTAGTCCTATGTGACAGCTGTCCTCATACAGGGCAGCACCAGAGGTGTCTCTATGCACGCAGGCACGCTCAAAGAGAAAACCATCTGAGGACCTAGCAAGAAGATGGCCTTCTGTAGGCAAACGGGAGACCTCCAGAGAAGTCGGGTTTGTTGACACCTCTAACCTCCAAAACTGTCAAAAAACAAATGTCTGTCGACGATACCCAGTCAGGGCTATTCTATCACAGCAGCCCAGGCAGACTACTCCACCACCCCAGAAGGTTCCAGAGCTCATAGCTGCCTCCTTCCCAGTGTCACAGTGTGTGTGCATTAGTGAGTGATACATACCTGCCCCTGTGTGTGCCCAAGGCGTATCACCTCTGTGTTACCCCTCAAGTTCAGATGTGTTTCTATTCCTTCTTCACTGTGTCAGAGTAAGAAACCTCTATTACTCTCTCCCAGCGTAATCTTAGCCATATTAAAGAAGCATTTTTTTCCCGATTAGTGAGAAACTAATGCTGGTTTTATTTCTCATCTAGATTCTGAATCAATAACATTGCCAGTCAAAGCCATCAGACTGGTGTAGCTTAGGGTTCCTATCGGCATTGTTTATGCAATGGAGGTAAGTGGCTGGAGGGTCCCTGTGTGAATACATCCAGGCCAGCAGATTCGCAGTCCCAGGGACAGGGCACTCCTCTGCTGGGCAGAACTAAGTGCCTCTCTCATCGAGTTGCCGTCTCTCTTCCTGTTCATCTGTTTCGATGTCACCTCTGCTCAGGTGACAGCAGACCCTAAAGGCAGCAGCCGTGCGTGCACAACCCAAGCCGGGCTCATAGGCGAATGTCAGGATCATACCCCCTTCATTTCCGAATGTCATTACAAATGGACATTCAGAAACCAGGTGTAAGGAAGAAGCAACTGCATGCACACTGGAATTTGATTTCTGACCCATCCTGGGAACTCAGAGGACAGTAAGGCGATACAACTACTTAGGGACCAATCCTTCTAGAATTCAGTCCAGAAATCACTAGGGCATGGAGTTAAGGGTGCATTTGCTCCAATTGGCTTTTTTTTTTTTTTAACCTTGCCTACTTCCATGGCCTCTCTCCTATATAATACTATATAATAGATCCTAACAAATTAGAGAATACAGTTCAGAGGTCATGTTTATAATGAAGAAAAATAAATAGAAGCAACTCATCTCTATAGTAAAATGATGAAATATTAACCTTCCTACAAACAACATAGGAGGTACCTGAAGATGAGCATTGTTGCAAAACTGACTGGGTGTTCTTTCCTGGTTATTTAATAACTTGAATATTTTCATATTGGGGGGAATCATATGCTATATATTTGCAGTGAAGGAACTATACCAACTATTCATGGCCTTTTCTATTGTTCTGAGCACCTAATGACAGCCCAAAAGGACGATTGTCCCTAGTTGACAGGCGTTGTTGCTGAGTAAAAGGGACAGTAAGGCTTATAGCCCAAACTGTCAGATTCTGTATTGCCACCATTTTGCCATCCTGGAATTATGTGAAACAAGATCCATGTAGGAAAAAAAGTGAGTCTAAACTATGAGGAGAGGACTCAACCATCAGAAGGCAGGAGCCATATCACCAGGGTTGGGACAGACCCAGGGCAGCCACTCTGCCTGCAGGAGAAAATGGCATTTCCGAAGCTATTTTCAAGAGGCAACTGCTCAGGTGTCTGGACTATGTAAAGTGATTCTTTTAATTATTTATCATTTTTAAAGTATTTTTTTTAGAATATATGTGTATGAGGTTTGGCCTGCATGTTTGTTTGTACACCACGTGCATGCCCATAAAGAGGTCAGAGGAGGGCATTGGGTTCCCAGAACTGGAGTCCCAGATGGTTGTACGTCTCCATGTGGATGCTGGGAACTGACCTGGGTCCTCAGCACGTGCATGCAACAACTACTCTCAACCTCCAAGCCATCCTCTAGCTCCTCATGCAACTACTAAAAGTAGACGAGGAGAGCAGCTAGGGGCTGTGGGTGGTGGCCCACGCCTTTAATCCCAGCACTCGGGAGGCAGAGGCAGGCAGATGTTTGAGATCCAGGCCAGCCTGGTCTACAAAACAAATTCCAGCACAGTTAGGGCTGTTACACAGAGAAGCCCTGTCTCAAAAACAGACACCTTAAACTGAAGGTTCATCGCAGAGAAGGAAGGCAAACAGCAGTCCCTGAGCTCTCAAGGCTCCAATGGCATGCCCCCTTCACAGGATCACACCTCCCAAGCCTCACCGAACAGCACCACCCACCGACTGGGGACGAAATATTCAAATGTCCAAGACCGTGGAGACACTTCTTATCCAAACCACCTCAGAGAGTTGACTTTTTGTTTTGTTTTTTGCCGTCCAGGCTTATGTCTACATTCAAGTCTCTACATTCAGTTTCAGGATAGGAAGCAGGAGCCCCTGGGCACAATGGTTAGAGGAAGCCTCTCTTGACTTCTCCCTCCTCTTACGCCCTGGCTAACTAACACGCCGCTCACAGGGCTATGAACATCTTGAAACTGTCTGTGTTTGTGGTTCAAAGGATGGGCAGTGCAGGCTTTCTGTGGCACTCTACAAATAAGTGCAGAGAGTAGAAGAGAAAGAGGAGAAAATGGGGGGGGGGGGGAAGCCAGTTGTTTAACCTTTAAATATCTTCCCCTTACTCAAACGTAAAACTCCCAGGGTAGGATGTGAAGGGTGCTTGCAACAGATGTCACAGTCTATGTTTCTTCCCATCTCAGTACACAGGAATGAGGCCAGCGTGCAGGAGATACAGCGTCTGAACATGCAGCCCAGAATGGTGTGTTCCATTAGTGGATCTTGAGATAGGAGAATTTCTAGAAGACTGAATATTCATTTTCTTTCGTACAAAAATACATATGCCTTCCCAAAGGCTTCCAGATTTCTTAAATCTGAGCTGTTCCAACAATAACTTTTAGGTGTTAGTCTTCTACTAATAGTTTCACTTAAGATTGCCTCACACAGAAGGCTGCAGTCTTCCGAGGCAACTGAGGCCTACAGAGAAGCAGAAACTAGAACTTCTCCATGCTGTCCACTTTCCCCATCTTTTGATCCACTTCCTTGCCCAACTTGCAGGGAGAGGGGCTCGCTGTAAAACCTGGCAATAACACAACAGATTGCCTTCCCTTCCACAGAACTGTGTTTATAGTTCTTGAAGAGAGCTCTATAAATAAAATCGGTTGCCTTGCAATATATTGTTCTTGCACATGCGTGCATGCGTTGAGATGAGGTCTTACTGTCTGAGGCAAGCTAGCATAGCCTAGAATTCTTAACCTTTGTAACTGTTGGGATTCAGGGTATGGGATACCATGTCCCACTAAAGGGTTTTTTTAAAAGGAAGTAATAAAAAGAGAGTTTGGTGCTCAGCAGGGAGGAGCTTGTACTGCTCTTTCAGAGCATCCAAGTGTGGTTCACAGCGCCTGTGGTAGGCAGCTCACCGCCACCTGTAACGCCAGCTCCACGGTCCAGCGCCCTCTCCTGGCTGCCATGACACTTACATTTATGTGCATGCTCGTGCACAAATTGAAAATAAAACATTTTATTTTTTTGAAAGTGAGGTTGAGGGTCAGGGCTTAACTTTACTTTCAAGGATATCTATTTTATTTTACAGCGACTTTATCTTTAAAATACCTATTTTATTCAGTGGGTGAAGGTGCTTGCCTGATGACCTAAACTTGTTTTTGTCCCCAGAACCCACACAAAAGGTTTCCCCTTGCTTTTCTAGCAAGGACTGACTATAGGGTGACCTCTGACCTCTACACGAATTCCACGGCATGTGTGTGTCTGCACTCACACACTGTGCACACCCACATCCACTCACACAATAATAACAAAGATGAGAACTTCAGGGGAGGTTGGGAAGAGATAACCTTACAGGTTAAAACTATGAAAATGATTATTTTTTTTCAAAGGCAAAAGTAAAATTTAAAAGCCCTACAAAATGTCCTTAACTTGTCACTTCTCTGAAGCGGGACTCTTGAACTCTGAAAAGTTGGCTATTAGAGAACCAGAGCTCTTGCGAGTCAAACGGGAAGCTCTCATTCTACGCATGCCCTCCAGAACTTTCACTATAGACTTAGTGTACAGAGCAGGTGGTTTTCATTGGGAAGCTAAGGGTGCATTTCACAACTGGTGGGTGGGTGAGACCTCCTAGTCAACTAAATTAAAACCCAGAGTGGAGCTGTAAAATGCTACCCATCCTGCCCTGGTGGAAGATGGGGGGTATTATTAAGAACAATTGTGCTGAAGACTGAATTCTGGTGCAGTATCTAGGATACGTTTCTTGTCTCATGATTAAAACAGGCCTGTAGCAAGAGGTCAATATGAACCCTGCCCATCATGACCGTTAGCACAGGGGACTGTTTTTCTGTGGGGCATTCACTCTCCAAAAAAATTCTTGTATCTAAAACAGAATGAGTGAGGATACCAGGTGCTGTTTTGACTTTTGTATTTTTTTTTTAAAGGCTCACCAACACGTTATAATCTGTGCCATTCCACAGACATTTTCCCGGCAGGCCCTTTGTTTTTTCATACTTAAACTCTCCTGTCTACTTAAATCTTTATGCGTTCCACGGGTTAAAACCTAATCCACTGCATTCGGTTGCCTCCTCGGAGTAGAAACTGAGTATTCTGAAATCCTCCTTGATCTGTCTTTCTCAAACTTTTCATTAAGGAGTAGGGAAATAGGTTGGGGGCAGGGTAGATGGCTTTTCTGAAAGACAGTTTACAAATACTTAGACAATCAACTTAGAGCTACAAGAGAAATTACGGCTTGTTATGTCATAGCAGTGCAGATTTTCCTTCAGTTAACGTACTGTGGGCTGAGTCCTCAGGGAGGGGTCGCATCATCGATGTCTTTCAGTGCGAGTCAATTGCCAGGTACGAGTCTGCATCCCACGGAGAGCTATCCTGTCTCCTTTAACGCCTTCCATTTCTTTTTTAATTTCATTCCTTACTTTTTAATTGTCCTTCATGCCTCAGAAACATCTGGTTGCAAGGGACAGTCACCCAACACTCTCTTCTTTTGTGTTGGGAGCCTGAGGCTATACATCACCCTAATGAGTGGTCCTCACCCTTCCTAATGCTGCCACCCCTTACTGCCGTTTCTCTCGTTGTGTTGACCCCAACTGTAAAAATTATTTTTGTTGCTACTTCATAACTGTAATTTTGTTACTGTTGAATCATAACACAAATATCTGATGTTTCCAGTGGTCTTGGGTGCTCCCGTGAAAGGGTTATTTGACAACCTCCAAAGGTGTTGAGACACACAGGTTGAGAACCACTGCCGTAGACTGGGGTGGGGGGGAAGCTACTTCAGTAAGAAGAGAGCAGCCCTCCTCCACCCTGGGAAAGATCCTGCATCAGGGAGTAAATACCCTGATGGCTGTAGGCAAACTCAATGAGGAGGGGATGCTCGGAGGGGTTACTGTCTGCACCTTTCAGAGGTGGGCTCACATATGTGCACACCCTATGCCCAAACAAATAAAAGCAGGACATCAGTGCTCTGCAGGCAGAAGCAGGTGGATCTCTGTGAGTTCAAGACCAGCCTGGTCTACAGAGTGACCAGGACAGCCAGGGCTACACAGAGAAACCCAGGGAGGAATCCCTGGGAAAGGTGCTCAATATTCAGATGGGTACAGGTTCATGTGTTCATGTTTGTATAGATGGTTCTACGTCAAACAGAGAGAAGAACTACTATCTAGATCCATTTGTAAACTATCCAGGGAAATATCAGCGAGGGGAAACCTCGGTTTCAAAGGCCTGTTTGTCTCTCTTTGAACATCATTTACCTGCCCACCATCTCTGACGGATTTCTCTCTCTGCCTCCAGCTGTCTTTGTGCAGGACTTGAAGATAGCGTTCTTGGTCTCCACACAGGGCAGCAGTAAGTTTCCTGACACGTCAGGATCTCGCAGAAAGTGATCTCAGGTACTTGAGGGGAGGTCTGTGAGGTTGCCAAGGTTGTGCGGGTAACTGCAAGGCATTGAGTCAAGGAGGGTCACACAAAGTCTGGCGTAGCACAGTGAGAGAGAATGGGTTGGGTTTACGGTTAGGAACAGGAAGCCCATACCTGAGGGGGAAGGTGTGGATAGCAGGGCTGGCTCTGGAGAACGTGTCGTGGTGCTGGAGGAGTACAAAACGGTTAGGGAAATGGTCCTTTGAGAGACCCCTTAGAACTGACTGATGGCTCAATGACTAGGAGCATTTGCCGCTCTTCTAGAAGGTTGGAGTTCAGTTCCCAGCCCTCATGTCAGAGAATTCAGTCAGCATATAAATGCATCTCCAGGGGATCCAATGCCCTCCTCTGGCTCCTCGGGTGCTCACATACGATACACATAAATAAGAATGGTTTTTAGAGCCCTCCTCTCAAAGGATCTGAACTCTTACCTTGGAGGGAGACTTGGGTAGCGCTGGTCTTGATCCTTCAAGCTCAGTATATAAAGGGCGACTATTGTCAAGGCACTGTTACAGGGAGAAAGCACTATGTAGCAGATTTGTTTCCATATATACCTCACTCAAGATGCCAGCTGGCCAGGGATGTACTCACAGGCCACACAGATGGGAGGGGGGGAGAGGTAGCTGTAGCTGGCAGAGATGCCATGGAAACCAGCAGAGTAAGGCAAAGAGAAAAGAACCCTAGGCTCCCAGTAGTTCAGACACTGGGGGGGGGTGCTCTGTGCTGAAGGAGCTCTCCCCCAGACCAGACTCTGTCTGTCACCCTGGCAAGCTGTTACCAGAGGAAGCCTGTCAACAGCTGGAGGCAGCTCCTGCTCCTTGCAGGAAAGAGAAGGACAAAACTCACTTCCTGCTCGTGGTGTCCACCCACGCTACGGAGCCGGGAGATGAAAGGAGACAGGGGTCAGTCAGTCATGGATCCCAAACCCTTTGGTCACCTCCAACATCTTCCACAGTGCAATAAGTCACATTGTGTAGCAAGAGGACAGGAAATACAGCAAAGCAGTCACATGACATGACTCCAAAATAATGAGCATGCCTTTCCTCTCATTCATACAATTTATGCAGCAAAGTTAAAATGTTCCTTAAAGGTTCTGGGGTTTGGGGTGCGAATCCCAGCGATGTTTATCCATGTAAATGTTGTGTGCCTGCCTTTTTGTAGGGAGTGTTTGGACTCTCGTTTGGACTCTCTCGAGTCACAGAGAAGTGTTCTAGAAATAAGGTCTTGCCAGCCTCACTTCACACCTTGCTTATCAAACTCAACTCCTCGGGACTTTGTTCTCACACGAAGGTGGTAGATTTACCATCACTGCATAAAAGCGAAGACATGTGCCACAACTGAATTCCATTCACAAGAAAGGAATTCCTAACGGGTTCTTAGAGACATCTGGTATGTGCCCAAGAGGCTCAGTCCTTTCTGGAAAAAAATGGTACTAAGTCTAAAGATGTGTCAGACACCCTGGCAACCGTTTACTGTGGTCTGGTTTCCCTTGCTTAATGTTTCCCTGTGTCTCTCACTCTCCACCCCCCCCCCACTAACAATTCTAAAATCCCCCCCATTTGTGTTTGACATCTGTCTCAATGCACAGGCCAGACAACATCTAGTGCATTAGAACGAAATAGGCAAATGCTCCCCTCAGAGGCAACCCAGGTTTTGATCCTTCTCAGGAAAAACAGAGACCACAACCAACACAAGGAGCCCATTACCTCCCATTTGTAGTCCTACTGGCCAACACTGGGCTCAGAAGATCTCATAAACGCTCTAAACGCAACTGTCTTTACTCAGAACTGAACTTCCTGTCACCTCTTCACGGGGCTGGGGTTGTATCTCCGGAGTATATGAAATGTGTCTGTTAACCCTGCCCTTGGCTGGGGAACCCACAAGCACTTAGAAGGATGAGGGGGTAAATGCAAAGGTCCATGATAGGAATTGCAGGTCATGGCATCAAACACCTGGGTATATTCCCACCATGGGCATTAGCTGTGCTGGACTAAGGTTATAATCAATGAGACAGTATATATTTAGCATGCTTAAAGCTCAGGGTCTAATCCCCAGGGCCAGATCCCTCCCTCCCTCACTCCATCGTATAAACTTTAAGAGTGAAAAGCTGAGGAAAGAGCAGAGAGCCATCCACACGGTGTCCTGCAGCTAGGGAACACCTTTGGGACTTCGCTTGCTTTGCCTCTTCTTCCAGGCAAGATCCAGGCACCTTTCCTTCCCATTCTCACAAAGCATAGCTTTTCTTTCACTATGCTGGACCACCTACAAGAAAATACTATTCGCCATGCATAGTGGTGCACATATTTAATCCCAGCACTCAGGAGGCAGAGGCAGGCGGATCTCTGTGATCTTGAGGCCAGCCTGGTCTACAGAGCAAGTTCCAGGACAGCCAGAGCTAACAGAGAAACCCAACAACAACAAAAACCAAAAAGGAAGAAAAGAAGGAGGGAGGGAGGGGGGAGGGAAAAAGAAACTATTTACACGCCCAGAGAACACAAGCAAGAGAAACAAAGTGTAGGAGCCATCCTAGTGACTACTGTCGATAACCTGCACTATGCTGACCCCACCCCTGACAACTGTCAGGGTGCACACACACGGGGCATTCAGGCAGATACTTAGACAGCTCAGAGGGCCCGGTGTTGCATGGCTATGTCATGTGTTAGGTGGCTGCACACGGACTCTGTAAGCATGTGCAAGCTTTCCCTTTTAATCGAGCGCCTCCCACCTGTCTCCCCCCTCCGTCTCTGTTTCTCCTTGGCCAACACCTACCCCTGCCTTTGCTCCCTTCCCCCAATAAACTCCACCTGGGTTTTGTTGAGTTTCGTGGTTCGTGTTTCGCTGCCCACAGCTGCAGCAAACAACAACAGCTATGGGATCCTAGAGACCCCAGGCCTGAGAAAATGCAGCATTACAGTGAGGCATCACCCTCCTCCCTCCTCCACTGTTCCCTCCTCCCCCTCTACTTTCTTCTACTTCTCCATCCACTCCCTCTCCCTAATCCCCTCCCTCTCCCTAATCCCCCCCCATAAACACCTTACTCTGCCTCTGCCTTCTCCTCCAGTCTCACCTCCACAACCACCTCCAGGCAGAGACACAGGTCAAAGCGACCACGGCCTCCCTTACTGCATTTGCTTGTTTGCTTTCTCAGTAGTCTGAGCTATGAGTTTATTGTGTCTATGCATTTTCACGGTTCTTGGTGGCTCTGTGACACAAAGTCTTCACTCAAGAATACAAAGCATCCAAATGGACAACAGTGGCCAGGCAGCTTGGGCTGTGCAGGATGTCCCACTTACCACTTTCTCTCGAGACAGAGGGGAAAAAAATGAATTTGAAAGAATTATTTGCAAAGACAAATATCACACACACACACACACACACACACACACACAGACACCCTGATCCGCTGTTAAATCACAAATGATTGAAAAGAATAAAAATCATCATTCATCTCACATTGGGATACATAAATCCAGTTCTCTTCAAGATATGAATTTCAAAGGGGCTCCCTTGTCTTTAAGCTATCAAAGACTAGTGCCTGGTTTTTAAAAACTTCCTTGTCTTCAAAGCAATGACAAGGTCGTTCCCCAGTTCATGTGTGAGAAAAGAAAAAATAAGAAATAAAACAGCATAGCATGGAAGTTTTTCTTACCAAAACGTCATTACAGCAATTAGAGCTATAACCAGTGTCTGGAAAACCCAGTTAGGACAGGATTGCTTCCTTCCTGAAAAGGAGACCTGTGACAAAGTTGATGAACAAGGACATATCAGAACAGCAGCTATGGGCCTGAAGATCCAAACCAGCAGGGACCTTTGCTGCCTCCCCAGGACGGTTGACTCCTCCTTCCTCTGCCCACTCTGCTCTTGCTCCACTGAACACTACAATCTCACTGAAAGTCTCCCTTTGCTTGGCGATGCAGGCTACTGCAGCCTGGCCTTTCCCTGGTGTCCACAGGACACTTGTGCATACCCACATTGCCCTGTCTCAAAGAAGACAGCCCAGAAGATGAGAGCATTGTCCTGTCTCAAAGAAGTCGGTCCAGAAGATGAGGGCATCAGAACCCAGGCGCCCATCTCCCAACAGGCTTGAGGAGATCCAAAGTTCCTCCAGATTTGGAGGAGTAAGTTCCTACAGGAGAATGTCAGGGTAGCCATAGGAAAGATTTTGTGACACAAAATCCTACCAAGCACACTGTATAGTGTGTCCCATGTCCCTACCTATGAATAAGGACAGTTCTGGGCCCGTATTTTGTTTACTCTTCTATCATTTCAATGAATGTTTATTGACTGCTACTACGTACAGTCATAGACGATATGAAAATCAGTAAATATTGTCTCTAGGAAGGTAATGAAATGTACACTAGGGTAGACACATACATAGCGCCATGAAAACTAGTGCGTGGGAAACAGCAAGAACTACAAATATGCAACTACAAATATGCAACAGGCTGTGAAACTTGGGGAATGGAGCTGAAGGGGCCCTGCCTGCTCTAATGAGCGCTTAGTAGGAGATGGCCACGACTGTGGTAGGGAGTATTGAGTCCTCTGAATCCAGAGCGAAATCATGCTTTTGACTGAAGGGTCATCGGGAGTGGGAAGAACCAAGGCTTTACATTGCCCTTTACTTCTTTCTTAGACTTGTTAGCTGGTTAAGGAATGAATTCTTTTTGTAAAAAGAGAGTGTTTAACCATATACTTTTAAACAAGCACCGAAGTCTAGGGCTATTAGTACCAAGTCTTTCATGAATGCCACCAGAAGCAAGTCTGAATGAAACAGAGTCCGTGACTGCTAGGCATCCTTCCCAACTCTCTCTGGGAATGTTCTGAGGATGTCTGGTTGTTGCCATGCAGAGAAAGGGCTCAAGGAATTTGTTGGATTGATTGGAATTAATAGTATTATTCATAGCATAGATAAGTGCTTCTCCCAGCTGGACTATTTCCACTCTCCCTGATCTTGCTCACTGTCCTTTGACCACACATTAGACTGAGAGTCAGGTCCTGTACAGACCTCCATGTTATTCACTCTCTTCTATATATAATCATACTCAAGTGCATCTCTGAGTTGTCAGGGCCCAATTAACAATGCAACAATTCTCCAGTGTGGATATACCTAAGGATTGCTATAGAGACTGTCAAAAACTAAATGCCCTGACAAATTCCGTCTCAACAGGTTGTGTTTGGAGTGAGATTCATGCAGCCATTCTCCCCACCCCACCCCACCCCCACCCACCGCCTTCTCTTCTACTTAACCGGAATTCTAACTGGAACAGTCGGGCCTTTCCATCACCTACCACTGTATATACAGCTACCTACCTCTTAGCGGTAGAGAGACAGAGACAAATGATGGCCATCCTATTGATTACATTAGCACTAGGTGGAGGTGACCTCAGCTTCCTCCAGAAGATGTCCTGGCTGGCACCCAGAGCTGGTGGTTCCAGCCACTCATCCTACCTAGAGGTTCATTAACTGCTGATGGCAGCATTTTGACAACCAACGCTCCCTAGCCAGCCTAGACGCACCACTTTCCACTCGTGTACATATTTCAAAGACCCAGTAACCCAAGGCAGCCTCTAGTGGCAGGCAAGGGAAGTCAACTTCCCAGGAGGTGGTGAGGCGAGCATCATTATTTGCACTCCACCAAGCTCCCTGGACCATTTCTGCTACACAGCATGAGGACCACAAAGGTAGTGAGTCTGAAACATTAACGATCCTGAATGTGTACCCAGCGCTTACTGTATTCCAGGAACTAATGAGGATGCGCTAATGTTCCGCATCCTCACAGTTACCCTCCCAACCCTTTAGGACAGACGCCTTCACCATCCACATTTTGGAGACAGAAGAAGGTGGTTTTGGAAGGCCGCAGCAGAGGGACACAGGTACAGTCACGAAGGCAGAAACTGAGGAAAGTTCTGGCTTTGCAATCTGTAGGTGACTATGGCATGTCACCCACTTGTTCGGGTGTACAAAGGGAGAAAACATACAGCTTGGGTATTGTGCAAAAGGCCCTAATTTAGGGCTTAGCAAAGAACACATGTGTTGATCAGTTTCTCTAAAATTGTGTGTGTGTGTGTGTGTGTGTGTGTGTTACTGTGGATTGAAAACAGCCGCCCATATGTAAGACAAGTGCACTATTATGAACTACTTCCCCAGGCTCTTACAAACTTGTCCAGGCTAGCCCTGAGCTCATTTTATACCTCAGGCTATAAAATGCAGGCTTTGCCCTTTCCGGCTTCCTCCCTCAGCCTCCCCACCCCCGCCCACCCCCAGGAAGCTGGGATACAGAGCTACACCAGGAGGCTCAGCTAGGACTTTATTTTGAGCAGAAAATACCATCTCTGTTCATTTTAAATTTCAGTCTGTTTACCTTGTTGGGCTTTTTGGCCCTTCTTGGTGAAGATGTACTAACAGCTCTGCTAAATTTGCTTTAAAAAGAGAAAGAGAGAGAAAAATTGATTACTATTCAAATGCCTCTCTAGGTTGTTTGTGACAAAGGCCCAGGCTGTCACAAACACAGCAGGGGGGGGGGCATTTCCTTTGTAATACAGTGATAATTTGAAAAAAGCAAAGTCAAAGCAATTGGAGGTCTTTTGTGTGTGGGGGGGGGGCACCTTGAGTAAGAATTGATGAATGCATTAACACTGTTTTTCTATCTTTTTTAAGAAGAACCAGAGCCCAGGAACTGTGCATTTAATTCCCTAAGTAATAAAAAAAAAATAAAATAAAATGACCACCTCCCCTCAGAATCAAATATGATTCTAAACTTAGAAATGACCAGCTCTCCTCGTTGAAGAGAGCTATATTTTGCTAATATTTAGCACTTCTTATAACGGTTGAGGCTCTCAGCCAATGTCTCACATTTCATTTTAAGAGCACCAGCAGAAAGAGTAACCAAAATGCCAGGAGGTTAGTGCACCCTAAACTGTTCTGAGGGACCTAAGGGTCAGAACGTGTGACTGTTGCTGCTGCCACCGCGTGGTCTCATGCGGGAGGAGCCGGCTCTTCCTCCCCCAGAGCTCTGTGAAGACACTGAACGTACCTGACTGAGCTAGCTTCGCTGACAGAGGACTTCCAGCTGCTACTGAGGCGCTTTAGCCTGGCCAGCTTTTTGTTCCACAGTTCTAACTCCTCTATCCTTTCTTCCAGATTGTTGGTCAGCTTGCAGAGCTGCTTCACCGCCCCCACGTTCTCCATGAAGATCTGGTCCTGGGAAGGAACACAGGGCCAGCTGCAGAGCAGGAGGGTTAGGGGGGTGGGGATGGGGTCCTGGGGGGGGGGGGTCTGAGGCCACCCGGGAACTGTCCGCACACTAACTATCCACTGTAAACGGTTACACACCCCAGCTTCAAGTTAGCGTGGGAGAAGTCTCAAGTGCATGGAAACTCAAAAGGGGGTTGTCAAACTGCCAGCTGTGCTGTAGAAACTGCTTCTGATCAATTTGCAATACAACCAAAATGTGGCCTTGTAACCCAAGAGAGGAAATGACACTGAGGGACAGTCAAGTTTGAAGGCCACAGACATCTTCTGGGACCAACTGTGCTGGGTGTAAAACCCGTAAGAACGTTAGAGCAGGCTTCCAAGAACAGTCTGTGAGCATCGCTAAATCTCCTGAAGAAGCAACAGCAGCTCCCTGGGAAGATGGACGCCAAGTCTAAAAGTTGACCAGGGAGGCCTTAGCCAACACTTCAGCCAGGCATTGGAGCATACAACTGTAATCTCAGCATCCAGGGTCTGAGGCAGGAGGATCATGAGTTCCAGCTAGTCCAGGCTGTAGAGTCAGTGAGTTCCAGGCCAGCCTCAGCTACAGGTAGAGACCATGCCTCCAAAATGAATTTTAAAGTAGAATAAAAACAATATCACGCTAAAGGCCCGGACTTTCCCCTGAGTTCTGCCGCCAGGTAAAATGTAAAAAGCTCTTTAAATTCAGCATCTTTGTTCATAAATGAGATAACTCTCAAGATGAAATGTCTACTCTAACATCTCCAGAGCGATCTTGTGTAACTCAAAAACTTCAAACAGAATTTAAAACACACTTAATCCCTTCTGTTCAATGAAAGTCACAAATACACTTGAAAGGTCAAAGGTGGGGAACTTGCCAGAGCCAGGGTGCCCAGGCCAGGCCCGTCCCCGCCACAGGGTGACATGTGTCCACCTTAGCCATAATAAAAACCATTGGTGTATAGTACGGTCAGGAGCCGCCAGGCCAATGACTATGGCTGGAAGGTCAAACTTGGGGTGGTGTTTGGGGTTTCAAACCCCGAAAGACAATCATTGGAAAAGGGACTGAAGTATGGTATATGCAGGCCTGGAAACGAATGGATTAACCCTGTTATTGTGAACGATGAGTATGTGCTAATACGGCCGAGGATCAAAGCTGAACATTCCAGAGTTTAGGGGTCACATTGAATGGTCTTCTTAAATTCCCAGCCAGCCAAGGAGGTCTTCTGAAGCCCCCTGACCTTGTCACTTGGCCATCTGTCCACACTGGATGCTGCATGCCATCTCCCTATTTAAGTGGAGTATCTATGGTTGATTGTTAAACTGCAAACGGCAGTAGGCAAATTGAGAGGTGCCAAGTTAGCAGCCTGGCAAAGCAGGAAGCTTTGGGAAGCTAAGGACCAACAGCTTCCTCTCTGAAGCTATGCTTGCTTTAAGTGTGTGTGTGTGTGTGTGTGTGTGTGTGTGTGTGTGTGTGTGTGTGTGCAAACCCCCTCCCTCAAAATGCTATCAGATAGCCTTTAAAAAAATCTACCTAAAAGTTGGGTGTTGGAAGCATGCCTTTAATCCCAGCACTCAGGAAGCAGAGGCAGAAGCAGGTGGATCTCTGTGAGTTTGAGGCCAGCCTGGCCCACAGAGCAAGTTCCAGGACAGGCTCCAAAGCTACACAGAGAAACCCTGTCTCCGGGGGAAAAAAGTAATAAAAATTAAAAAATTTTAAAAATTAAAAAAAAAACCCTATCTAAAGAACTTAGTGATAAAACAAGCAACAGAGCAGAGCTGAGCAATAGCCTAGAAAATTGCCTATGTGCTTGCTTGCTTTCTGAGGTGGTAACGCCCACTTCTGGAAATGTGTTCCCTGGATTGACTGGGAAAGCGTAAGATGGGAAAAGAGGCTGACATCAGCTCAAATGCCCGTCAGTAGGGGCTTGGTGATGGGACAGTGACATTGTTAGAATAAAGATGCAGGACAGTATACACAGAGGGCCCATGTTCTCTAAAAACCAGGGAGAAATACAAAATATGCCCATGTTGTCGTACTGAAAAATAAACATTACCGTTTAATTTTTTTTTTTTTTTTTTTTTTTTTTTGTGGGAAAGAAGAAGCAAGGCAGGTAAAATGGATAAAACCAGGCTCTCAGAATAAACCTTCTTATGTGTTATGGACAGTGCATATCATCTATGTGCACATATGTGTAAACTTGCCTTTAGAATAACGTGGGTATTTTACTGTATGCTCTCCCTCACAGGTGACTCTACCCTTGAATTGCTAAATACATATGTCAGGTGTGAGGATATGTGGGTAAAGTCCCAGAAACTAGACAGGGGCTCACAGGACTTGGAGGAAGGATGTTCTCGGTAGGGTCGACACCAGAGCAGCATTGAAGGGAGAGGCTGGGGGCGAAGGGTATAGCAGGGAAAGAGGTAGGGAGGTTAGGGGGCAGCGCTGGGAAAAATCAACCAAATCCAGTACATATGAAAACCCCAGTTGGAATCTGTTGTTTTGTAAGGTTATAAAATAAAAATAAAATACAATAAAATGCAAAGAGAGAGAAATATTGCGGGTATTTTTTTTAAGTGTCGAACCATAATTATATAACAAAAAAAGTATCCAATAAAGAAAAGGCAAAGGAATAAACATAATGTGGTATTGAGTTTCTGATTCAATCCTACAGAAAGGATTTCTTTTTAAATATGTCTTCAAAACAGTAATTGACTAGTCCTTAGAAAGATATAGTCTGCACACCAAATAAGAATAACTAGCAATGAAATCTTAAGTGTTTAATAGTCATACTGTTAGTAATAACAGTAAGGGATTATATGCACACATACACCATCTATGATTATAATGGAATATAACAGATACACGATTATGATAAAGACCAGGGATTTTTAAGCATTTAAGATACAAGATATACATACAAAGCATAAAGTTTGCATAAAAATCCAGCAATGCTAAGTTTAAGTTTTAAGTATCACCATGGATTCCTGATGGATTCTATTTCCTTAGAGGAAAACCATTTCCTAGCCTTACCCATGAGGAAGTATAACAACGAGATATTTCTGACCCACTAACAGTGAGTGCCTTCATTGTCTCCAGATAGAGGAACCAGTACTCTTAGGAGAAGGAACAGCCAGGTTTGGGGTAGGTATGGTATGAAGGGAGAGCTCAGACAGCTATCCGAGCAAGCAGGGGATGGCCACCCACGACTGTCAGAGTAACCTGAAGAAACCAGAGAACATACAACAAAGAACCAAATGCATTTTAAAAGCACCCACAGTTGTAAGTTGTACCCAATTTAGAGATGTTTTATTGATTGCCTTCAGGTGGTATCAGAGATACAACTTTTCTTTTTCTTCCTTCCTTCCTTCCTTTCTTTCTTTAAAGAAAACTCATAAAGAAAGGAAGGCATGAAGGTTTTGCTTCCTCAATTACAGGTAACTGCATAGCTAGTAAGGAAAACTTTCTTCATTTTAGTGGAATGCCAAAGGTTAAATAAAGAATGATGAAGTAGATCTACTAGAAAATGATTCTCAATGGCTGTCCAAACCATATGGATATGTGTACTTCTTTTGAGCTACATACATACTAAGAAAAAAACAACCACTTGTGAAATTCCAGCATCAACTAACTGGTGAATTTTTGTGTGTGATAATGGTATATCAGTTCGGTTTTTAAGGGGTGATCTGTCCCTTTCAGAAAAATGTCCTCAGGCTGGGGAGATAGCGCCACACGGAAAGCCTTTGCTGTGTAAGCACAAAGATGTAAGCAAGACACCCGAACCCAAGGGGAGAGAACCCAAACATGCACAGTGACATGCACTTGTAACTCTGGCCCTGGGGAAACAGAGGCAGGCAATGAGCAAAGCAATGAGAGACCCTGCCTCAAAAACAAGGTTAGTGGTGCTTCTGAGGAATGATAGCCATACTATCCCCTAGAGCTTCCACATGCCTGTGCTGTACAACACACACACACACATTCACACACAGACAGACACACAGATACTCACACAAACACATTCGCACACAGACACACACTCACACACAGACACACACACTCACACATACACACTCACACACAGACACACAGACACATTCACACACAGACACACACTCACACACACAGACATAGATACACAGACACACACATACACACACACTCTCACATACACATTCACACACAAAGACACACACACACAGACATAGACAGTCACACAGACACACATACACACACATACACACACAGAGATATACACACTCACACACATACACAGAGACACACACGGCACTCACACACATACACACACACAGATACACACAGACACTCACACACAAACACACAGATACACACAGACACACATACACACACACAGAATGGGAAGGGACAGGAAGAATGTGTGAAAGTATCTATAATAAACTGATATAACTTTGGAACTCAGTTTAAATAATTTAGTTGGAGATAAGAACCTGTCTTATATTAGGGTTTGAATTTGAGATCCCCTGAAGACTTCATGGGTTCCAACTTGTAGTTACATGATCTCCCTCCACAGACTCACATGCTTGCACACGTGGTTACTGATCTCCCTCCACAGACACATGCTTGCACACATGGTTACTGAGATCCCTCCACAGACTCTCATGCTTGCACACGTGGTTACAGAACTCTCTCCACAGACTCACATGCTTGCACACGTGGTTACTGAGCTCCCGCCACAGACACATGCTTGCACACATGGTTACTGAGATCCCTCCACAGACTCACTTGTTTGCACACATGGTTACAGAACTCTCTCCACAGACTCACATGCTTGCACACGTGGTTACTGAGCCCCCGCCACAGACACATGCTTGCACACATGGTTATTGAGCTCCCGCCACAGACACATGCTTGCACATGTGGTTACTGAGATCCCTCCACAGACTCTCATGCTTGCACACGTGGTTACAGAACTCCCGCCACAGACACATGTGCTTGCACACATGGTTAC